CAAAAAAGAAAAACATACAAGTAACACAACTTCCGTCAATGAAAAATGCAAATTGATAAATTTTGAATAAACTTGGCTCAAGGTTCTGTTTTCTTACTGCTGCCTTCGACTGCTTCTTCTTGTTCACAATTGCCTTCCGGTAATTTCTAGCCACATTTTACATTTCAACGCGACAACACACATATGATGTACGGTGTGTGTGTGTGTGTGTGTGTGTGTGTACTTGACTTGCCATAATGGCTAATTTGAATTTTTATCATGTTTACAAGCAAACAATATGTGCATCATCATCATCACCATCACCATCATCATCATCATCAAGAAACGACGACGCCTCAACTCGACTCCTTTACTCATCCCTTTTTGTACAACAACCAACTAGCTAGCAAAACATTTGCATATCGATTTCATATGCGGCAATACAACCCCTACCCGCCACACCCCTTTAACAAATGCAAATACAATCCATTTTGAATATTTCTTGGATGCGCGTTCGCAAATTGTGTGGAATAACCATGAAAATGTTTACATGTCTGCCACCCTTCCTTTTTTGCCACTCTCTTTTTTATTTGTTGGCTTACTTGCTGCATTTGTGGCGCCCCCTCAAGTATGCAGCGCCAAAAAAAAAACATGCAAACACCCACACAATGTACACACACACATACACATATTCGACATTACGTACTTGCAAATTTAATAACACCCCCGAAATTGAGTCAAAAATGCAGAAAAAGACAAGCCAGCTTGTTCTAGTCGAGAGAGCTTGCCTTGCAGATACCCTGTACGCAGCTGTTAAATATGTTAATTATTTTGAAAATATAGCTCGATAAGGAAGAAAAATAACAATTTATACTGCTACATTAATTGATTGTTTATAATAATAATAAAAATAAACACCGAAAATTCAATCAAATATATTTTCTGCTTCTTAATTGTTTTCTATTTAATTTTAAAAACTTCACACGTTTTGCAAACTAAAATAATAAAAATAAAACGATATAGTTAATGAACTATTAAAGTTGATCAATAATATATCTGATTACAATGAAAATATGTATATATACATCAATTGAAAGGACATTTCTTTACAACTCCAGCAAGTTGACTCAACTATTTTTGCTGATCAAAAATACATATATTTAGTGGGTTTTGTCTGTTGCATAGTTTTCCACAAATTTATTATACCCTTTTCCAATTTTTCAAAGCAAAAAGAAAAGAAAACTGAGGCCAACACAATTGTTGACATCGTCTTTGGCGCTTGCTTTCGTTCCTCATCATCAGCGATGTCTGCTCGAAGTTTGCTTGCATGCAAATTGCACTGATTACCACACACACGCTGCACTTTTCTTTCTTGAACAACTTCCCCTCTCTCTCTTTCTTTCTCCGTATTCCTCTCCCTCTCTCTCTCTCTCTCTCTCTCTCTCTCTTTTTGCTTACACATTTGATTTGGCTGCAGTTGTTGTCGAGCACTTGTCATGTTTTCTACTTAACTAAACCGTCTAATGCAAATCGCCTTTATTGCTGCCACTTTTTCTACCCAAGTCTTTTGTTTGCCGACTCTTGGCCCTTTTTCTACTTCTTCTACTGCTTCTTTCTTGGCATTGGCTAACACACTTTTCACACTTGACGTATTTATTGTAACCTTCTTTGTTTTGGCTCGCTGCTGCTTATGGGGCAGGGTCAGCGCCATTAAATCTAACTGCACATTCGCTGTTACTCAAGTGGAAATGAGGCGCCATTTGTTGTATTTGGTTTTTTGTGCCACAAGAATGCACTTGTAATACGAACCACAACTTGGCATGGTGCCTCCAAAAAGGTGTTACGAGAGGGTAATAAGCAAATTGTATTAGCCTAATGTTGAATGGCTAAGAGCTTGGGTTTCAGTTTACGTAATAAGATAGATTGGAATTAGGAATCGAATAGATGTGGAAAGCGGTATTATTTCAGAGGTAAAATCATGCGTAAATAGAACTGGTTTTTCAAAATGTAGTTTTGATAAAGTTTTAAAGTCTTTGACTATCATCAAATCTGATATAACAAGTAAGATTTTGATCATTTATGATTCGTATATTGCGTACATCTTAGCTTTCCATAACACCCGTAGTATATATTGAATTGTTCACAGAAATAGACAAGACGCAACAGAGGAGACAAGGAGTCTCATTGCCACAGTGCCACACTCTATTCGAAAGACAATTTGAGCACTCTTTCTTAGCCAACAATCTCTGCTTTTTCAATCTTCAGCAGCAGCAGCTATACTTATTTGCGGAAACTGCAGAGCTCTTCAGTTTGAAGCCCTTAAACGACATGAAACAACACAATTGCAGACAGAGCCACACCAGAGGAGACAGTCGGACAGTCGGACAGAGAGACAGACAGAAACCCCAAAAACCAATCAAAGGTTGCTTTTGCTTTTGCCTGGCGACGCAACTCTGCCAAAAAGTATCTAAGGACAAGGAGCAGAGAAACAGTGCCAGCAAGGAGCACGGAGCACGGAGCACGGAGCACGGAGCAAGGATCCGCAGCAGGAAACAAAACTCGGCGACTCACTCAAGCATTTTATTAAATTGCCACCTTCCGTTTGTTGTTGTTGCAAGCCTTGGCTCCAACTGCTGTCTGCAACTGTCTTTTATTTTCGATTTCTAGGCATAAACCAACACACACACAGACACACACTCACTCGCACACACACACACAGAGCAGCAAGGGACATTTCAAGTATAAAGAATATTTCTGCCATCTTTTTCTATTATATCGTTTCCGCTGTTTGGCATAAATTTCTTCGCTGTGTGAAAACTTTTGCTATTTTTTATGCTTATTGCGAGAGTTTTTCGACTTGTTTTCCGTTTTTTTTATCTCCTCAATTTTTTTTTGCAGTTTAAAGTGCCAAAGCACACGAAATACAAAATACTAAAAACAATAGATAAAGGAAAATACAAAAAAAAATAAACACAAAGTTTTTCTAGTTCTTTTTGGCTTTGTGGCAATATTGAAATGCGATTGAAGCATGCAGCATATATATTATACACATTGTATATATATCTACAATCTATAATGCGGCAAATGTTGGAGCTTGTCCAAAATGCATTTGCATTTGCATTCGAATTGCCATCGCCATCGCTTGAGCCGCAGGCGCATTGCGGGCGTCGCCTTTTAAGCTTATCTAAAATTGAAATTGAAACACAACAAAATAAAAATAAAAAAAAAACTACAGAAAAAACAACAAATGTCTGCGGAGCTGCTTTTAGTTGAGCTAATCACAGCCTAAGGCACCCTCCACATAAACCACATAATGCACAGCTTAATGCTGATGCGAGTTGAGTCGGTGAAAACCTTAATTTTTAGTTACTTTGTTTTCGATTTGATACTGATTGATAAGAATGCATACAGCTAAAAAGTCTCATCGGAAATATGGGAGTATTAGTTTAGGAATGTGATAATAGTCCGGGATAAGAAACCATCAACAACTATATAATAACTTCCTCTATGCAGTATTTCTCTTGTTAAACCCATTGTTTCCATGACAGCCATGTAATATATAATTATGCGATACAAAATTGAGGCATTTAATTGCATAAAAATCGAGAGACGAACGGACTAAATGACTATACCGAATCGTCTGCTGTTTTTTACTACTCTTTATTGTATACTTTATGGGATCGAAAATATCTCCTTCAATGTTTTAAGATTATTAAGAAAGTCAATAGTTTTCATAAAACCATTAAATATTGATAGTTCTCTGCTCCTCATTTGCCATTCATTAAAGATTTCTTCGACACTCAACACTTTTTTACCAACAGCTTTTCAAGATTCTCTGTTTATGTATTCAAATTAATTTTCATTAGCAACAAGAAAAACCCGTTTTTCAACTTTCATATTAAGAGCAGCCCAAACAGTTAAAGACTGGCGAAAAAGAAAAAAATTTATAAAAATTAAGCATACGCCATGTCGAACAAGCGTAATTACACGCGTATGTGGCTGTAGGTGTGTGGATGTGTGCGTGTGTGTGGGTGTGTGGTGAAGGATGCAGCCGCCGTTAAAGCCACATGTCAGAAACTTTCCTCCTCTTTTTTTTTCCAGTGTATCTCTCTCTCGCTCCAACACACACCAGCGCGCGCCGCTGGAGGTTCTCATTTAAAAACATACTATACCAGCCGTGTATCATCCCCTCCCCTCCCCCCACACACACACACACACCTACCCCTTTCGCTAGTCTGTGTGTGTGTGAAAGTCAACATTTTTGTGGTCACTTAAGCAGATTAATTTCATGGGTATAATTAAAAGAAGAAGCTGCCGCTGCCGCATGCGTGCACAGAGAGAGAGAGAGAGTAGGGAGAGGAGAGAAGATAGAGAAAAGTGGAAAAAGTGCAACTGGCGAAAATTAACATAAATTAAATTTTTGTGCAAAAAACTTTTTTTAAACAAATTTTTTTTTTGGTAGAGCTACTGTAGCTGCTGCTACTGCTGCTGCTGCTGCTGCTTCGCACACATAATTGATGGTTTTTAATTAACTGCCAAGTTGACCGACAGACGACAAACACGCAACTGACACAGGCCGAAAAAATCCAGATAGAAAAGGAGAACAAAAAGCACAAAAATGTAGTGAAAAAGTGTCGAAAAAATGCGTTAAAATCGTTTTAAATGTGGCTCCCCTTGTCCAACTGACCATCGTTTGGGAGTCATCACAGTGACAATGTGAGAGATTCCATTCATTGGGGAACGGAGCAGAGCTGCCAATAAAAGCTGTCAAATAGAATTGCCTGCTTTTAGGCAGCGCCATCATTTGACACACAGTTAAATACCACTTACAAAAAAAATAACAAAAAAATGCAGTCTGTGCGAGACAGGTTACAATATCAAGCTAACTGTTACAGACAGATTGATAACTGTACTCTATAATAATAGAGAAAAACATCAAGAATATTTAAATGGAATTTCAAATTGAGTTTATGGAATTTCAAATAGTTTTTATGTAGTTTATTACAAATATTTCGACTTACCATTGCGATTCTCGCTATCGGCGGGTTTCATTTGTATGGGATGATACATCTGCAAACAAAAGGAAATATTGGAAAATTAAATTAGACAAGAATTTAAAGAATGCATATATGCAAAATACATAAAATAAGAATGTTCCAGTTGAGAGACTAACAGATACCCTGAGATAACTATATATTTATTACTTAAGAAATTGTATTATTTAGATCCCGTTTACAGCATAGTCCAACCCAATTAAGCACTCAGTTTTGCTTTTAAATATGACAAATTTTAGAATCCCCAACTCAATTTGGGGACTGGTTTTAATCACATTTGATATATTGGAGGAGCGCGCTAGAAGCGAGCGACGCAGTCCACGATTAATTTTCCTCGGCTTTTTGGCGCAATGCAACCAAAACCCAAAAAGTGGACAAGTTATGTGCGTGTTGTGTGTGTGTACAGAGTAGAAGTAGAGCCCATTTATATATATATATATATATCTGTAGCTGCAGCCCAGCCTCGTTGTCGTATCTAGTTGGCTTTCCTTTTCCTTCCTTTTTTATTGCTGAAAGTCGCGCTTAAGCTGCATAATGAATGAATGCAGCAAAAAAGAGACGACAGACAAATGGACAGACAGACAAGCTGCTGCTGCTGCTGCTGCTGCTGCTGCTTTTCTAACTGGCCGCCAAATCCCCTTTACCAAAGCCAAACACATTTATTCAGCGGTCACACGACGAGCAACAACAGCAGTAGCAACAACAACAACAACAACAACAATTACGCCACCTTTTAGGCAGCTCTTCTCCCCCTTCTCCCGCTCCTCTCTCTTCTCTCTGTTAGCTCTATAAACCTAAAATATGCGTTCGCATTTTGCTTCATGTTAGAAATTGCAGCGGCAACCGTTTTAAATGTAATTTTTCGCACAGCGCGTCTTCTAATTAAAACAAGCTTAAAGCGTCCGCAAAACGTGCCGCAAAAGACCCGGCGAGGTCAGGGAGGGGATTGGGGGCAAGGTAAAGGGTTGCTGGTGGGCTGTGGGCTGTGGGGCAATAGCAAACGAGGCCGGCAAGCAAGAACTTCCGTCGCCAAGTCTGTCCTGGCTAATGGGCCGTGATTTATTGGCAACGACGACGACGAGGACGACGAGGACATTCTGTGCGTTTATTTAAGGCAAACGTCCTTGCAAGTGTGCTTCTACACCTAACCCCACCCCCCACCCCCACGTCTCACCTTACCCCTCTTATCTAGCTCAGTCTCGCTTTCTCTCTTTGGCCGCTCGTAAATAATACACGCAACTCGCAGCGACTTGCGACTTGCAACTTGTTACAAATTGCAGTCCAAGTCAACCTGTTTTCTCCCGTTTTTTTTTTGTATTTTTATGGCTTGCCACACCCCTTTTTATTTGCCTTCAGCCTTTTCCTTTTTTATTTTTGTATATGTCGGAAGTAGCAATTACCAGGCGACTAACCAGGCCATAAGCAGCTGCCGTTTGGCCTAATTGCCCGAAATGTTTGTTTGCTGTTATCGCTTTTGTGTGTGTTTTCTCTGTCAATTTAAATACACTTAATCTATAAGTCAGTAAAACTAACGAAAGAGTGCAAAATGTTTACAAAGTTTAGCTTTGAGATACAATTCAGAATTCAACAATAAAAATTGGAAGTGTTCAACGTTTTTCATATCTTGATTACGACTGAAGATAATCATTTTGAAATGTAAGATTTTCATATTTTTCTGACAGTTGCACGAAAAGCGTCAAGCTAAATGCTAATCGATAAATCTATCGATAATTAAGACGAGGGATTGGGATTACCGTTTGCGGTAAATTGGCTACACATTTCTTTTGTTATTCGCTTCCCTCATTGTATTATATATATATATTGATTCGTATAACTGCCTTTTTTTTACTAATAATATTGAATTTCAATCCGTAGAGTTGATCATTTAAAGTATTTACTGGAATGCTGTGAAATATTTTGTATCACTTTAGACTACAATTGATAAATATCGATAATAATAACGGTTGCTCTAAATTAAATGAAGAATTTTGCTTCCTTTTCTAAATTTGAAACGGTAAAGTTGCGGTTCTGTTTCCGGTTCCGCTTTGGCACCCTGCTCTTAACAGCTGTCAATTTGTGCATTTTCCACAGCAAATCTGTCAATTTCAAAAGGCAGCAGCACAAAATGAAACGAATTCTTCCTTTCCTTGCTTCCCTCCCTTTCATTCCCACCCTTTCTTCGACATATTTTCCTTGACTTTCTTATTCCTGACTTTCTTTTCCTTGTCGTTTGTGTGTTGTGCTTTTTTACAAAATAAATATCGCAGCAGCGCAGATATTTGTTTTGTTTTTTTTTTGGTGTGTCACTCGTTACAACATGCAAGTTATGTCAGATTGTGGAATGCCTCGCCTGACACAAAGCATTGTTATATGCTGCTTGCAACCTGCCCCAACAACATACTTTGCAACCCCTTCAGACATCTACTACTACTTGTTCACCCCCTTTTTGACAACATTCCAAATAATAATATTCATGCTGATTTGATGGCGCAATAGAAACACGAATATAAAACGCAACAATACAAAAAAAATGTACTTTGCTTTTCGCTGACGTTGTCTTTATGTTTAGCCCCCATTCCCCATCCCCTCATCTCCAACCCCTTCTGCAACTCACACAAACCCTCTTCGAAGGGGTTAAGAGGCACACACAACTTTGGTTGTAGCTCTTCTCGCAAAGCGCAAATTGACATTTTTGTGCCTGTGGTTTTTTCCCCTTTTTTTTTGCTGCTTCTGCTGAAAAAACTTTTGGCGCGTGTCTTCTGCTAACAATTTTTAACATTTCTCCTTTTTTATATTATTTTTTTCTTCAAATATTTGAATTTTTTTTTTTTTGTTGTGCCTGCTTTTCTTAAGCTGCCAGGAGGCAGGTCTAAACTTTGAAATTACTTGCGTTTTATGGAAGCTAAAAACGAACTTGGAGTATTGCGGAAAAAAAAAACTATTGTGGTAAAAATTTAATATACTTTTATAGAGCGAAAAAAATGTGAATTCGAGTGGGGAAAAACTTGGAATATATGCAAAATTAGGCAAATGGAAGATACAAACTGTAAATAAGGCAGATATTTGATATAATTAAGCTCAATCGATTTAATAATCAGATTGTTATGCATAAGATATATGATTATTGTGCCTAGAATTGAATTAAGTCAAGCGAATGCTTGTGAAATTTTATCATTCAATATAGAATTATTATGTGTAAAGAAGAGTTTTCTTTTTTTTAATAAAAAATTCAAGGCAACAACAACATTTTTAAGGTGTAGGAAAACTAAAATAATTGTAGCAAAAAAAAAACATTTTGAAGTATTTAGATATACGTTCGTTAAAGTTTTGATAAATATAGTAAGGAACAAATTCACTGGTCTATTTTTTATATAACAAATTGTAACAACTTCAAATGAAACTGCCCCAATCCAACTGTACACGTAGATATGTCTAGTTTAAGGGGTATCTCGGTAGTCAGTACTTATTTTTTCATCTGCTGTCCCGGCTTAAGTATGCATTTTTTGTGCCACGTCATCTCTGTGTGGTGTCAGTCGACGTGCCCGTCAATCTGTCAGTCACGCAGTCAGTTAGCCATTATAATGAAGGCAATGCTATGCTCAAAATATTCCTGCCAGCTATTTCAACTCATTGCTGCTGCCGCTGTTGCTGCTGCTTCAGCTGTGTTGCATGATTGCGTTTGTGATAAGTTGATGTGGCACACAGCATTTTATACTCTCATTTTTCGCAAAGTCAGCATAAATAATATTTTTGCAATTAAAAAAGAAAATTCTGTCTAAACTGAAATTAAAATGAAAGCATTTGTGGGTAGGTGGTGTGGTGGGGGTTGCGGGAGACTTTAATTACAGGCAATAAATGTCCCTAGAATTATGTGATATAAATACAAAATGAAAATGCTCAAGTCGAGAGAACTCGACGACGAGGAGATATTCAGAACACAAATCCCAACTTATTTCTCAGCTAATCTGAATGAAACTTTCACAGCTGTCAATATATAATATAATATAATGTTAGGGTATATTATGCATATATTTGAAGCCTATCTTTATTGCTATCGATAATTAAGCTATCGATAAAATTAAATAAGCTTATACTCCAAATGTACAGTATCTTATTCTCATAGTCTCTAGGATTATCGTTTAACTGTTGCTGCTGATCAAGGATAGATACTTTTCAAAGGCTCAGTCAGAGAATCAGACAGACAGACAGATGAACACGACGGATAGGCAGATATACAATTATTCCACATCAACTCGCTTAGTAACGCTGATCAAGAAGATATATGTATATGCGCAAACATTTTCCGAAACTTTCCCCCTTCTGCCCCGTTAATGATACTCTGCCCCTTTCCCTGTGTGTGTGTGTTCAAATAGGGAATAAATAAAACTTACCCCATTCAGCGTTTTCACATTGTGGAGTGCGTCCTGAGCTTTCAGTGCGGCGCGACGCGTATAAAATGTCACAAAGCAGCAACCTGCATTGGAGTGAAAGAGAGAGAAATATTGAGATTAGCATAAGGGTTAAATTGGAGTTTATTTGGCAGCGAGAATGACGACGATGGTGAAAGGTGGCAAAGAAATTATGAAAATTATTATTATTAGCAGGCAGAGGCAGGCAAAATGTGGCAACAACACGGCAACACTAAATTAAACATTATGGCCAAGCGAACACCCCTTAAACCCCCATCCCCCACCTCCCAACAAGTGTGTGCGGGGTGTTAAGGTGTGTATGTGTGGGGAGAGGGTGTTTTTTAGGTGTTGAAATTTATGTTGAGGTTGTTTTTTTTTTGGGGCATGTGGCAAGCATATTTAAGCATGCAAGCGATACTTATAAAGCGGCCCGTTTTCTACCGAGGCATAAAAAAAGCCAACTAATTTTTGGGATTAATATTTTAATAGAGGCAAAGAGTTGTTTGGGTGTAATATATTTTTATTGTTTTTTGAACTTTTGGCATACTTTTGCTATAGACTTTAATTATGCTAATACGTACTTGTCTTCTCTTATTTTTATATTAACCGTTTAAGCTTTTAACAATTTTTACACAAATTTAATAAACATCTTTTCATTTACAAACTCTTTTGTAGACACAATTCTCTATATTCAAATCTGCCTCCCGAAAACCTAAGCTAACCTTTCTATATAGCATTGGTATGTTTATGTGGCATCTTCTTGCTACTTTCCACACTTGCCACCTGACACATCTTATTTGCATTTTGCAGTCGGCAGCATAAAAAAAGAAGTTTGCAACGATTTTTCCGGTCTATGTCTAAAATTCAATACGGCCTCTATTTTTTTTCCTCTTGCACCCAAACCGTTTACATCCAAAATCTGTGGGCAGTCTCTATATGTACAGCTGCAGTCAAAAATATAGTAGTGGACACATATGTTGAAGAAAAAATGCTTTAAATGTAGTTAACAGATTATGAACATCTTATTTAAGAACAGCCAGTAAATAAACACTAAAATGGCATAACTATAAAATCAGTAACAGAAAAACATTAAAGTCTCTGAATATATTAATTTTATCTATTTATTTTTGAGCAAAGAAACTGTTTGTTGCTTTGCAGAATTTAAGATTTCTTCATATTGAAGATTTTGAATAGTTCTCGATTTTGGGCACTTTATCACCATAAAATGAGTCATATTTGTATTAAACGCTTTGAGAAGCAGTTCTACTATTATTTTGACCGCAGCTGTTTATATGGAGATGCGACCAAATAAAAAACCCAGAAGCATCAGTTGAAAATCCATTTCCTGCTCGCGAACACATATTCCATTTACCGTGGCTCGTTTTCCCCGCACTTTCCACCACATCCCTTCTGGATTTGTGAATTTTGTCGTGGCCCAAAACTTAATACGGCAATAGTTGCATAATGAAATTACCGGCCATATCGACAAACGCAGCTAAAGCTTCAGCCAAGCGTAATGCGTTGCGGCGAGCCTAACATACCCTTCTCTCACTCCCCTCCCTCTGTCTCTGTATCTCTCTCTCTCTCTCATCTCCCTCTTGATGTCCCCCTCTCAATCGCACACTTGGGTAATTCAATCTGTCGCAGTTTTTACCCCATCGCCGTTGTCGACGTCATCGTCATCAGGACACGGGCATTTTTCACATATTTACAAATATTTTCATTTTTCGTTTTGGGTTGAGTTGTGCTTCTTCTTTTTGTCGCACCCAGTGAGAGAGAACAAATACCGACAACGCAACGGATGTGTGAGTTTTGTGGTTTAAGCTTTTAAATTGGGAAATTATTATTCACGAAATTATCATTTAAAGATGCCGAGATTGAAAAAGCTTGCACAAATTCAGGCAAAACTCAAACACAATTTTATTTTTGCCCTGCATTCGAAGAAAAAAAGTTAAACTTAAACACTTAAATAAAAAAAGAACAATCTGCTTGCAAATAAGAAAAGAAAATAGCAGAATCGGAAAGCGGAAAACAGAAAAGCGGTAAACGTCTTGTGTGCAATCGCAGATTAAATATCACTTAAAATTAAACTAGCGTTAAATGTAACAAATGAATGAAAATCGAAACGATTTCAAATGCAATAAAATATCCGTGTGCAAGTCGAAGAAGAAGTGAAAGAAGTGGAAGAACAAGCGAAACCAAAGACGAAAACCAATCGAATGCGATAACGAAAACGAACAAGAAGAAGAGGAAGCAGAAGCAACAGTAGCAAGCAAGAGAAATCTCTCAATTCCCATTATGTGCATGTCAACTGCAGTTAGAATCAAAGCACCAAAACAAGCGCGCGAGAGAGAGAGCGAGGGTGAGCAAGGGAAAAGGGGAGCTGGAAGAAAATCGAAGCAGTTGAAGCTTTTGGGAACAATGCGATAAAGTAACAAAAACAACAAGCAGAAAACCAATGGCAGCAAAAGCTGAAAACGACATCCAGTCACGTTTTTCGACAAAAACTTAATCCGGCGAAGGGCGTTGGATATATTGTAGGCGTGTCATATGTGTGTATGTGTGTGTGTGTGTGGGGAAGGGTGGTATTTTAAGATGTGAAATCGAGTGCCGTTGCTTGCTTTGCCCCAGACAAGACGTGCCAAAGTCCAGTAAACGGGATAAAGAATACATATACACAAAAGAGCCCGAGAGAGAGAGAGAGAGAGAGAGAGCGAGAGAGAGAGATTCCAAACGAATTAATCGAAGTAAAATAAATCAATGTCATTAAAGTTGAACGTAGAGATTTACTGGCTCGAATGGAATGGGCAGACAGAGATAGCAACAGTAACAGTAACAGTAACAGATCAACAGCAGCAATAGCAGCACCAAGCAAGAAGAAGACCAGCAACAACAACAATAACAAATGCAATTGCAATCGAATTTAGTTTATTCCTATATCTCCTCACCAAGCAGCCCAACTAAACGAAAGTGACAAACGCTTAGCAATAGTTCAGTTACGCGCCAAAAGTCAAGACCACAAAACCAAAAAAAAAGTAAAATAAACCGAAAATGGCACAAAAATAAAACGATTCTCTTTGAAATTGAAATGGCAGATGCGAGAGAGAATTAAGTGAAATTTTATGCATTTTTCACGCTCAGCAAGCGGCTAAAATAAAAATGTCAAGAAGTGAGCGCTAACGGAGACAGCGAGGAGAGGAGAGGAGAGGAGAGTGCGAGCAGAGCAGAGAGGCCACGATGAAGACACGCCAGATAAGTGCGTTAGTAGTTTTTTTCAAGTTACATTTGCTTTTCTCTTTCTCCTTCGCTTGACAGCGGACAGCTGGGCAGAGGCCAAGCGCAGGCCAGCCACATTCACAGTTACAAAAGGAGCTTTTCAAAATGAAGTTCTCAAGCTCGCACCGCACAGCGGGAGCTGCGATAGCAAAAAACTAAAGTAGTAAGAAGCAGAAGCTACTGTCAGCCCTCTCCTTCTCATGTCTTGTCTTTTTTCTTCTTTTTCTGTGATTTGGTCAGCGCGAGCTAAGTTTTCTTAGGTGTTCATAAATCATATTTTGAGCAAAGGAAAATCATTCAAGGTGCCGTTAAAGCATCGCATTTAAATAAATAGTTTGAGTTGGGTTTGCATTTTATTTCTATTGAATATATTTGATATATAGTATTATTTATGTCTTTCTAATTGAGTAATCGTTTTTATTTTCGTTTCTTTGACTAATTTATGGCGCACCCTTTTTAAGGTTTGCCGCTCGACAAACTTTTTGGCCAATATATTTAACAACTTTCGAGAGCCCATCAAATTAAATGCTCTGACCAAGCACACACATACACACACACACAAAGGCGCTTTACACCTGAACAATCTGAAAGAGAACCGCAAAACACCTTCCATCTCCCTCCCTCGCTTCATCTCCTTTGTAGTTCCTGCGCTCACCGCAAGCGCTAATAAATTATGAGTCGAAAGCTTAAATCCACTCTATCTCTCTCTCGCTCTCTCGCTCGCATCGTTCCGCTATCAGCAGCTACAACAAAAACAAAAACAGGAGCTACAAAAAGAGGAAGAAGAACCACAGCGTAACCGCAATAACAACACCCGCAAAACAACATTGAAAATCCACTTGAAAAGTAACTGTAACTGGCCGCTAACGAAATTTAGTGCAAAAGAAAAGCAAGTTTTTAGCCAAAAGGCATTAGCCCAGAAATATAAACGAAGCGTAGGTGAGGGAGGGGGAGGGGCGGGGGGAGAGGCACACAAACTTTTGCTTCAAGCGAAAAGGAAATTTTTTGTTTTTTTTTTTTATTCCGTGGCGGGTTATTTACGACTTTCTGGTTCAGAGGTCATCGTCGCGCTTAAAAGTGTCATTTCCCATTTTTGGTTAGCAGCCGAATCGAGGCGAGTCCTGCGCATTTTTGGCTTGTGCTTTATTTCTTTTTGTTTTACCTCGAAGCGTTTACCATCAAAATGCAACAGTAAAAATCCAAAAAGTTGCAGCGAACAAAGGGAAGGGGCGGGGGGTATTACCAACTTTTTGTCGCAGCAAAGATGCAAGAAGCAACAACAATAAAAGAACTTAAACTGGGTTACAACAAGCCGGGCTAAATGAAAATGCTGTTTGCAGAAAGTTGCAGCCAACAAAAATATATAAAAACTGCACATGAAAAGGAAACGGAGGGGAAACAACAACCAAAATTTGCATGCGGCAAGAAAGTGCTAAAACAACTCGTATTTTTTCACTCTCTTTATGCTTTATATATCCTATAAATTAATGAAAAGGGGTATACTGATGCGTGTTTAGCATGCAAGATATTTTCATTAGGACAACAAAGCAAATCAATAAATACGAATCGATTGTATTTTATTATTAGTTTACAGGGTATCTGCTTATGCAGCACTCTCTATTTTATATATGGGTCACTGCTGACTAAAACACGCCTTCTTCCTTTTCTTCTTCCTCTTGAACTTTTTGTTTCGCTGTATTTGTTTTTGACAGTTGCCCGGCATAAATAATAACTTTCAAATACAATTTGTGTCGATTTGTGTGTGTTTGCTTTTAAAAGCTCGAGTGACAAACAGCACCAAAAACACAAGCACACATACACAAGCACACATATGTGTGATATGGGCAGCCACTTAACAGAAAATTTGCCCTCTCTCTCTCTTTCTTCCATTCCCACTCCCTCGCAGTCGGCGTCGCTGTCGCCGTCTCACTGTCATAAATCATCAACACAACGCGCCACTTAAGTGCGTCCTGAAACTGTTTGCGCTTTTACTTTACACACACACACACACACATACATCTCTCTCTTTCTCACGAGTGCCACGCCCCCATCGATGACAAGCTGACCATGCACACGCCCACAATTTGGAAGCAGCAGGCGCCTGTCAACGGCAGCCAAGCCATGGATATCTGAAGAGGGCGGGAGAAGTAATACAAAAGTTGGATAATAAAGCTAAATAGACAAAATGAAAAGGGCTAACAATAAACCAGAATTCAAAAAATTTATATATAAAAAAACTGTTCAAGTATAGTATAAATGTAAATGTGTAGATAGAAACATGATTTGACAATGGGCAGCATTCATCGTGATGGATGCTCACCAATTGCAAATGCCGTTATAAATGTCCTACAAAACAAAAAAAAACGGAAAAGAATCGAGAGGGGAGTGGCGAGGAGCAAGTGGAGAGTGAAGAGAGACTGGCATCAATAGAAATTGCTGGCCTGCAGTTGAGCGTCTTTTTTGTTGTAACAATTGACTGCAAATGACAGCAGCAACAATGGGGTGAAAAGCAATCACAAACTCTTCAATTTGGAGCTATTATTAAAAGTACTTCGCTTTTACACAAAATATGAAAAATAGTCAAGATCGAACTCCTAACTTAAATTTTAGCAAAAAGTTTCGCTTTTCGAGAGCAGAATTCCAGTGCAATTTGTCTATGAAATGAAACGGTAAAAGCGCTGGCAATTAAAATATTCACGCATACTCACTCATTCATTTACACACGTAGAAACGAAATGCAGCTCAATTAGGAGTGGAAGAGAGCAGGGAATATGAAGTTGAGCTCAAGCTTTTACTGCTACCTTTACTACAACATTGTATTACAGTTACAGTTACTTGTCATGTTTCAAATTATAGAAATAGTTCAGTCACAGTTACTACTTAAAGAAGCGCAAGATCAATAGATAAAGCTTAGCGCTGATAAGATAGCTTTGATAGTAGAGTTGCTTTTCATATTACACATTATAAAAATAATTCCGTCGCATATGTGCTTCAAAAGTTCTCAACAGCAAGTGACCACTGTAATCAGTTACTTAAGCCCGTGGAAGATAAATACATAAGACGCAAGGCAGAGGAGCTTTGTAGTTACAGTTATATGCAATTATGGTTTCTCTTTCTTATTCACTCACCTTTGCTAATGCCCGTGGCCTTGTCACGGAGAACATTTATGGAATGAACCGGTCCATATTCCTCGAACATTTCGCGCAGCTGGGCCTCATCCATTGACTTGGGCACTTGGCCGACAAACATTTTGATGTTATCGGGATCGGGCTCCTTTTCGCCGTAGGTGACGACAGCCGAGTCGGAGTCGAGGCGAAAGCACGAATCATCGTCCATGCTGCTGCTGCCGACAACGTTGCGATTGGCGCTGCACGAATTATTATTATTATTAAGCAAATTGGCCGACATTATGTTGTTGTTGGCGCCGCTGCTGTTGCCAAAAGGAATGCCGGTGAGCGAATTGTTGCTGCCAACGAGACTCGAACTGGTGTTGTTGTTGTTGTTGAGCAGCGATGAATTGTTGTTGTTGTTGTTGTTGCTGTGGATGGGACTATTTGGCAGGCTGTTTGTGGCGCTGCTGCTCTTATCGCTCATACCAAATGCACTGCAAAGAGAGAATAGAGAGAATTAGTAAAAGCTTGAACAGAAAAAATTCTGTACAACATGAGCATATTCAAAATGGAGCTAAAGCTCATTAGCAAACAGTTATTTGCATTTTATTTTTTTAGAGCATGCGTAAAAGTACAAAATGGAGCTCAAGCTTATTATCATTAACAGTTATATATATACATATATATATATATATTATTGCAGACTCACTCCATATAGAGATCGGTGCTTTTCTCGGAGAAATCAAAAATCATGCGGCGATTGCCCATAAACGAAGTGCGACTGCTAAACATATTGATTTATTAACGTTTTTTCTATTGTTTATTATTTTTCAACACTTTCGATTCGATTTAACAACTAAAGCAAAAATGGACGCACACCGCACAATTAATTGTCGAATTGTAAAAATAAAGGCAATCTAAAAAGTATATATCTTATATATATTTTCCATGTAAGACACTGCAACACGGCGAACTACAAATGGGCACTAATTAAAATTTGGGCACATAAATTTTGCACGCACGCGCAGCTTGACTCAAAGCACTTCCTTCATTGGCAATCGTCGAAGAACAAATGAACGAGCCCAAATCAAATTTGAGCACTGATTGCGATAAGGAGGAGAGTGCAAGTTAAGCTTTTACATTGAGCAATCACTGCGCAGGTGCAGCGGCTGCTGCTGCAAAGAACTTTTTACGTGCACTCTCTTCTGCTTCTTGTTGGGAGAGTGAGCTTCGTTGTGTAAGCTGAGCTCAAAATTTAACGGTTGTTTGTTAGTCTATTTTCGCTGTACTGCGAAGAATTCTCTCTTTTACTTTGGATTACGATTTTCAATATTCATTTATATTATTCCATTTTATACATGCAAATTTGAAGCTTTCTATTTTTTTTTTGCGCCAACAAACGAAATCCAACTCGCTATTAACAAGTCGGCCAGTTATCCAGTTCTTGACACTATTACGGCATAGGCACAGTGGGACGCATCACTTTATAAATTTATTTTGTAATTCAATTTAAACTTGTCAAATTTTGAAAATTATAAATTTAAATATACATATACAATCAAGATTTAAAATTTAATTTATAAGCAATCAATTTAGAATTCACGTTACAAGTTTTCATATATTAAGCACTTTAGTTGACCCAATTAGCGCATAGACTATTTACAGGAGCAAATGGCCATTAGCTAAATGATATTTGCGGTTTGTCCAGCCTGAAAATCGCTAAGCAAACAAAGCAAAGCAAAGTTCACTCAACCCAAAATGACGAAGAGGATATGGGGGAGGGAAGCAGGTTAAGCGCATTAAACGCTTAGCAAAAGTGACACCTATTTTAATGCGCATAATGAGAGAAAAGAGAGAGAGGGAGATAGTGTGGGGGTCAATCAGCGACAAGCATAAAGCATATCAAGTTACACATGTAATTAAAACTAAACAACAGGATTTACACTCCCTACCCCACCACTCTCTTACTCCCACTCAGTCTCTCACGCACACATATACACACACACACACACACACAGCTGCAATTTTCTGCTCATTTCATTTGACTTCTAATTTCTTTGGCAAGTTTGCAAATTCCTGGACTTAATCGTTTGCTGCTCCTCCTTCTTCTACATTTACTTCTTCTTCTTCTACTTGTGCTTTGTTGCATTTTGTAATTTGAACTTTTCGCTTTGTTGTTTTGTGTTTATGCACACAACAAACTTTAAAGCTCTTTGACTTTCACGTACTCTGTTTAACCCTCTCGTAGCTTTTGCACTTCTTTGTGCTATTTTGTTTCACTTTTGGGCAGTCATTGTGCTTATTGTTCTCTTACATTCTTCACATCATGAGCATCGCCGACCGTTTGACACAATTATTGCATTTCCTTTGCACTCATTTACTTTGCACATGTTTTGCTTTTTCGAACCCTAATCTAAAACATGCAATTGTGACAATTTTATCAAAAACTTTGCTAGCCTTCAAACTTTTTGTTTGCTCTCCTTTTTTTTTGCCATGCAACTACAACAACAACATCCACAACTGTTGAAAAGCTTCTTGTGCATTTCTATCAAAGTTCAAACTGCAATTCATCTTCATCATCATCAGGCGCAATGAGAGAGACAGAGATGCAGATAGAGAGAAAATGAGATCAACATGAAAAAGTTTAGTTCGAATATCAACTTAACAAGACTATTGCATTTATATCCAATACTCGTTTACAGTTACATCTGCAAATACCCTGTAAGCAGCGCTTCGCAGTGGGGAGTATTGGATTTCGGTTAGTCTTCGACAGTGTTTGACTAAATTTAAACATTTCCTTTTATTTATTATTCAAAATGGTTAAACCTGGTAAATTCTACTAGCCAGTTGCAACTGCAAAATTTGATACTTTATCTAGAATTTTTGTCTTAATTTAAATAATTTATACACACAGAACAACAAAATCGCATTTATCTTCATTTGTCTATGCAGCAAAAAGTTAAGCCAAAAAAATAAGTAGGAAAAAAATGTATAAATTTTAACCCAAAGCTGTCAACAATTTACCGTTTAAATTATCCTGGGAGCAACTTGAAAGAAGAAGAAACTTGGCATCCAACTCGGATTTGGGTCTTGTTCCGTTTCCCTCTCCCTCTCCCTCTCTCTCTTGCACTTTCACAAGCCGGACGTATGAAAACATACTAATTTGCTTGATTACTCTCGAGAATTTTAAGAGAGAAAGAGACGAGGAGAAGTTGGCAACAAATTTTGAAATCTATTAAAAAAGTTTCAAGTTGAAGGAAATGAGAATATTGCTATTGGCCAGAGAAATCACTTGTCACTCTGCACCGCTTCCACCCCCTCCCCGCGCTCCATCACTCTCTCTTTGACAGATGCAGCACAAAAGTCAAACTGCCAGAAAAGGTATTAGAAAAAAAGGAGTAGGTTGTAAAAGTAGTAGCAAAATTTGTTGAACAACTTTTTTTTTATCTACTTTTTGTTGTTTGCTGTAAAGCGGCAAGTAAAAATGAAGGTAAATTTGAAGCGTCTGCTTCACAAATCAAGTGCAAAAGTCTACAGTCTAAAAAGAGAAAAAAATACAAGTAGTCAAGTTGTAGTTTTTTCAACTACTCAAAAAAGAACTTGATTCTTGTGATTTTGTTTTGTTTTTGATGTTCGCCTTGCTGCTCTGTTTGCTCTTTATTGCTGCAACGAATGCTTCATAATATCAATTTGCCAGAGCTGAGAAGAGAAGAAGGCGAAGAAGGGGAGAAAATACTGTAAATCAGTGTGGAAAAGCTTTAAGCTTGCTTTTTGGTTAGTTTAAAAGAGGTTAAAGGTGTCCGACAGCAGATTAAAGCATTAAGCTTCAAGAAGAGAATCGAGATCGTAGCTGAACACTGGGCTGGAAGTTAAGAGAGTAATTTAAGAGTGATAGATGCACAAGGAAGAAAGCTATAAAATTGTGTTGATTTGCTCTGTTTGAAAGAGTAAATATTTATTTAGCCCAATTACACCATAGCCAAAAAATGGAACTAATAGCTGCTGCTCTTATATTATTCACTGCTTGGCTCAAAGTGTTTATTAATTTTTGAACGTTGAAGCAATTTATAATCCCTCATACTAAGTGCTAGCCAATAATTTATACATTTTGCCCAATTAGCCAACGTTTAGCTGAAATTGTACTCTTTCCACCAGACTCTAAAACTCTCTTCTCCTCTCTATCTTTGCTGACGGAGGAGCTTTCGGTAAGCCGCTTAAACTTTGGCCCTAACCAACACTAAGACACAGCCACGATGACTTTGATCTCAAGGACCTTTTAATGCTCAGCTTTCCGCCTCACCCCTCACCCTTGTCAACTTTGTTGTTTTTGCTGTTGTTGTAAGGACAACCTTTGCCTATAAATTACTCAGCAGAAACATTTCGCCATGCTTATCAAAGATAATTTTAAGCCGCATTTAAAATGATTTCTTTGCCTTTCTTTTTCAACACTGCAGCAACAACTTTTTGTGTTGAGCAATGCGAATTTTTTCTTTTTTTTTTTCAATCCCCTTTATGCAATGGGTATGATGAATCAGTGCCAATTTCTGTGACAGAGGGAAAGGTTTTTAAATAATTGAATTAATTATGAATTCAGAATCTACAAATTTATTATATGTAAATTGTAACATAAATTCAACAAGTTTTTACTATTACAAAACAGAAGTTTAAGAGTTGTGCCTCAGTTTATTTATAATTTAAATAAATACATTGTAGATTATATTGTTGTATACATTTGTTAGATCGCCTGCTTATTACAGCGTATTTGATAGTCGATCAACTCGATCAACTCCAGCGCTGCTTTTGCTTTCTCTTCTATTTTATACAATATTCCCAGCCAAAATTTACGCTGACTGTGCGTTGTCTGGCAACGCTGCCAGCCAAGCAAAAAAGTGCAAGTTGGCAATGCTGCACGAAGAGAATGAGAGGGAGAAATGGATTGATGGAGAAGCTGTGGCTGTTGGGGGTGGGGCGAATAAGCTCAACGGGAAAAGGGCGCCAGCAATGTTGACAGTCGGTGAACCCCTCTCCAAAAAGAGACGCTGCTTTGCTCCAGCGCTGCGCTTTTTGTCAATGCTAAGCTGCGCTGCGCTGCGTCGACGTCCACGGCGAATGAGCAGCAAAAGGGATAGGCAAGTGGAGTAGAAGAGTGGAGCAGCAGCTTGGACTTTTGTGCAAATATTTGACATGAACACAAAAATGGACTCGGAGAGCAGCAGCTCATTTTTGGCTGGCCAACGTCAAAGAGACAGAGCAACAAGGGAGCTGAAGAGAGAGAGAGAGACGATTTCTAGAAGAAGGTGTGGGAGGGGAGGGAAGCTTTTACAGTCTGGGACTCGTGTGTAATTAAGCAAAAATGTAAAATTGTTTTTGCTGTTGTTGCTGTTGTTGTTGTTGGTGTGTTAATAATTGCTTGTAAATAGATCAAAGTTGGCATTTGTTTGGCTTTTGGAAAGAAGCGGCAGAGGAGAGAGTGGAGTGGAGTGGAGTGGGGGGA